TGCTGAAATTGTAGCATTTTTAAACACAACTGCAACACCTGGTGGAAGCCTTGAATTAGGATTCAAACTCATCACATAACTAAATGAGATGGATGGCTGAAGGGCAATCCCGTTCCCTCGTGTAACCTCCAGTTGAACAGCATAAGGTAATTCAGTAGAATTAATTGTTGCTTGTTTTATGAAGGACACAAAGTAATCATCAATGTCTTTTAAAGTGTTAATAATAGATAAAATAATTATAGTGAGCTTACTGTTAGGTAGGGATCTTGTTTCAATATTAATGGACACATTTTTGATTGACAGCAGAGCCACACCAGGTGATCTGTACAGTTCGTCAGCAGTCAATGAGGCAACTCTTCCAGCATCTCTTAACACAAAATGCAACAATGAATGATCAAATCCAATAACTATGTAATGAAAAAAAGGCAATAAATGTATTGAAGCCCCTTGCACAATTTACACAAGTAACTGTTAGCAAGAGCAGTCTTACATACAAAAATTGATGTGTCAAAAAGGTTGATACGCCAATGTAATTAATACAACACATATCCTTTTACTAGAATTAGTGTAATGATCTCCAAAATAGAATGTGGCATATTGAGCAGGAATAAATCAAAACACATACCAAACCCTCCTCCATTTTAATGTTTGAATGTCAAAATCAAAAAGGGGTAGTGAGTCTATATGACCCACTGATCATGATTCAAATTAATTTTGAATAACGAATCATGAAAAGAATAAACAGGGAATAGGCTTACAAAGAGATTGCATTACACATGATTACTGTACTAGTTGCAAAGCAGCCTGCTAATAAGCTCACCAATACATAGAGAACTGCACAGGGCTGACTGCCATATTCCTGTAAATGAAGAATGTCTGGCATATCCTCCACCAGTTCTATTACAGCAGTCAATAACGGGAAGGCTGACTCCATTATAATCAATAGCACAATTATAAGAGGATGGATAACACTGCACAATTTCATAATCTTGCAAATGACCCTGAACTATTAAGTATGCACCAATTGCAATGTAATTAATACCTTATTCACCTAAAAGGAAGAGCAAAGCCAAGGATAACAAAATAAGAGCCATCTTGCCTCTAATATCGTGGTTTTAAATAGTTTATTAATAATACCCAGTTATAAATGGGACAATCAAAACTATGAATGAAAAAATTCAACAAACTAAATTATGTGATGGAAATATCATCATCTTGTATCCTAACAGTTGACCAAGAGTTGTTCACCAACAAGTTCTTATGCCGAGGAAATACTCTGAAAATATACATATAGAACTCCTCATATCTCCTCTCCTTAGTATCATCATCCACAATGTAAAGTATAGCACAAGTGCTGTTTTGATATGGATACATTTACAAACGAATATCATAAAAAAGGTAGTCAACTAAAAATGTATAATTAAATTTATAGACAAGCATAACATGATCATTCATACCTGGATATATTGCAGTTCCTCCTACGTCAATGATGAAAATGTATAAAGGACTGGATATGACTCCTCTGGTCAAAGTGGCACAAATTCCAATACTTTTGACATCTTCTGTCACAGCATATAATCTCCTCTCCAATGATAGAAAGGCACCTGCAAATTAAGTAACAATAGATTATATATAACAAGGTCACAGTAATAATAATAATCATAGAAAGGTATTCCTAGTGATAGTGATGTAATAACTTCATGTTGTCAATATAATGTTGAGAGTGGCATAAAAATAATTTTTTTCAGCAATATACATTGTACATACAGTGTTAAATGATAGCTGGGTGTTTCATCAAAATGGCTTTAAAAAATTCTTTTACATTTTCTCATAAATATGCATGTTTTT